TTGGAACCAATTTCCCACTGATACTGAGAGAAGATACCCTAAAACATTGTTGGTAGGAATGTAAACTAGTACAGCCACTTTGGAAGACAGTGTAGAGATTCCTCAAAAATCTAAAATTAGAGAACCACATGACCCAGCCATTCTACTCCTGGGAATTTACCCAAAAGAAATGAAATCAGCATATGAAAGAGTTATCTGTACCTCCATGTTTATAGCAGCCCAACTCACAATAGCAAACATATGGAATCAACCCAGATGTCCACCAACTGATGACTAGATAAAGAAATCATGGTATATATACATGATGGACTACTACACAGCCATGAAAAGGAATGAAATAAGCCAGTCCCCGAAAGACAAATATGTTTTCCCTGACTTGTGGTAACTAATATATAGGGTACAAAAATGTAATGTATGTGAGCAAAATTGACCTTTTGAGATTTGATTATTATTTATAGCCTTTGTCTATACTCAAGGAATAGTGGTTTTTCTGCTTACTCCTTCTTGAATTCTTTATTTAGTGGAGCGTTAAACTTGTAATTATAAATAAAATTCAGAGTATGTCATTGTAAAATCAGAAAAATAGAGGGGGGGATGTTGAAGGAGGGCAAAGTGGGTAGTATCTTAGAACTGATGTATGTTGCAAAGGGGCAAATATCTGGGGAAAACACCTGTCGGTTTAGGTATCTTGTACTTTGGCTTAATCATAAGGCTAGCTAGGGGCTAGTGTTGTGATGCAGCAGATTAAGCTGTGCCTGTTACACCAGCACCCCACGAGTGCTGGTTCAGGTCCCAACTGTTCCGCTTCTGATCCAGCTCCCTGCTATTGTGCTTGGGAAGACAGTAGAAGATGGCTCAAATGCCTGGGCCCTGCTACCCGTGTGGAAGCCTAGGAAGGAGCTATAGGCTCCTGGCTTTGGCCGGGCCCAGCTCTGGCTATTGCAGCCATTTGTGGAGTGAACCAGTGGATGGAAGATTCCTTTCTCTGTCTCTCCCTCTCTGTGTCATTCTACCTTTCAGATAAATGGATAAATGAATCTTTAAAAAAAAAAAAAACTGATAAGTTGGCTAATTATGTCAGGATCAATGCACAATTGAAGGTGATTGTGTTCAGTCCGTTGTCACTTCTGCCTGACTCCTGTTTTCATGGAATATGAACTAAACCTCTATCTGTAGCCACAAACGCCCCAGTGCTGAACCTGGGTGAGGGCAGTCCTGGAGCAGATGTGGGGGCCTCTGTGACACCTGCCCTGGGTTGATTTGTTGGTCTCCTCAGAGGGTTTCAGTGGTGGCTTCTCCTGTGGTCAGGTCACTGGGAGGCTGGGTCCAATCTGTCCTTTTTTCACTCTGATTAGCTTCATTCTGAAGAACTTGCCCCAGCCTTCCACAGACATGGGTCAGCGTGAGAAGACCAGTTTCTCCGTGTGAGACTGATTGAACCTGGTAGTATGGGTGCTGATCTTGGTAGAAAAATCACTCTCCTTCTCATGTCAAACATGGAGGGCATGGGAACCCACAGCCACTCCCGCCTGACACATACTGGGTTTTTTCAGTTGGGGACCCATTGGCATCACTGGGGTGGCCAGCTAAGAGGGGTCTGATCTGTAGCTTAGTGGGAGATCCTGCCTGCTCCGGGTGACTCAGAGCTCCTGGGCAGCTGGTTGAAGTTTTGTTTATAGTGGTGCTGCCCACTCACCCGACACCCCCCACCCCAGCCCTATAAAGCACTCCACCAGGAGGCCCAACTTTGGGTGCACAGCACATGTTTAGGGTGAGTGTACAGTGGCCACCATAACTGGGGTACAAGGGACTGAGGACTGCACCCCAAGGGCCAGGGATATGAATTGATTTGGTTTGAGGCAGGCAAAAATTATGGTCAAATTAAATATTAATAGATTAAACACAAATTAAATCTTAAGTAATAGTAAGAAAAAGAAATAGCACTTATAGGGCAAGAATGTACTGTTTCAAGACGTGCCTGTGTATATATTCGCTCATTGAATCCCCACAGCAGCAGCCCTGTGAGGGAGGTACTATTACCGTCCCTGACTTTTACAAGAGGAAGCTAATGTGGAAAGAAGTTGGAAAACAAGTCTAGGTCCGTGCATTTAGTTAAGTGGTAGAAATTAACACGGAAGCATCCCTGCTGCTTACCTTCATAGCAAAATGCTTTTAATATCTAAATTGCAATTGAGGGGGAATTTGCCAAGAAGCTAATCATTCTAAGACATTTTCAGTGTTTATGTTAAATAACAGGAGAGTCAAGTGGATGCCTAGATCGCTCTTAAAGGAATTATCCCACTGCCGAACTATAAGGCAATCCACTGTTTTATTGAGTGCATATTCGAAAACTGAATGAAATGCCTGCACAGCCCCTGACCCATGGGCTCATGGCTTCTCTCTATTAAACTCAGGCCACTGGCTTCCCAACAGGACACGGGTGTTGCTAGAATCCCTTTGTCTGCAGGAATGGTGTGCGTTTCCCAGGCTCCTGGTCGGAAGGAACCCACCCAACATATTCAAGTTTGCGTTTCGATGTTTGTAGCCGTGGAAATACAATCTACCCTCAAATTCTCTGCTAGCGCATGGCTAAGTGTTGCTTCAAATCTCTCTGCAGCCTTTAGCCGATGTCATTTATTCATTCTGACTGCTGGATTCCCCTTCTGGCTCTGAGAAGGCCCCTGATACGGGAGCCGCCTTCCGACCAGACAGATTAGTTTATGGTCCTACAAGGTTAAGCGTGATACATGTGTTTGGGGGAGATGGAGATGCGCATTAAGAAGAAACATTACTTTCTGATCCAGGCAGGAGAGCATACATAATCTCCTCCAGAGCCTGTGAAAGACTTCATTTTACACATGAAATTGTGTGGAATTGCCCCAGACTGCCTGGAACACGGCTTTTCAGAATAACTAGCCTCAGAACAAGCTGCTGAGCACCAGTTAGGGCCTCGAAGCAACAGGGAATAAACGTAAGCAAATGTAATCTGGGTACAGTTACGGGGAACACACACGCTATCTTGTTGACACAGGGCCTGCGTGGGACCAGACCTAAGCCTGCAGTGACATGCGTGAGGAACAGTGGCAAAACATGGGCCTGGCACACGCCAAAGAACCGGGAGACAGAGGGGCCTTGGGTGGATGGAAATCTTTTAATAGTCAGCTTTTTACATCGATTCCAAGGACTTTTCTGTCTTTCTGTGTGTTGTAAAATTCTCTTTTCACCATTGACTGGAAAGCACCATGTCTGGTAACCAAATTATTGGAGAATTTGGCTAATCTGAATATTTGACCAAAATCATCATTTTGGGGATCTAGTGAGTGTTGCAAATCCATAAAGCTCGGGTGAGAATTTTAAGACAAAATAGGAACCAGATACGTATGCTCAGAGACTGTAAGATGTGAGCTGCAGAAGGCGCCTCCCAGTTTAAAATGCCCTGCTTTTCAAGCATAATAAGTAAATCACATATAAAAAATTTAGAAGAAAGGTCTTCTGCACATTACAGGGAAATTGTTGGCATCTTCTGAAGGGTCATCTTAGCCTTGTTATTAAATGACAGCAATCATTAAAATGCCAAACATATTTTGACAGAATTCACTTTATAAAATGTCAGCAAGTCTGTGTTTTTATTAGTTTGTTCCAAATCAATTTAGAAATTTCAATAGAATGCTTGTAAGTATTCCCCAAGCAATGTCCATTCCTGACTTTGTGTGCAAAAAAATATTACAAATTAATCAGATTTTCAGATTTCTGCATAATAGCTTTGCACGTTTATTGCTTAATCCTATTATAAAATGCTGTTATGATTGACACATTGCTGTGGAGATAGAAGTCAATTGAATAATATGTAGCAGTCAATTTTATTTGTAGCTTAATGTGCTGAAGTGTTTTTTCCACATTTCCATTATTTATAAGTCTGTCCCTTTGGAGAATAAATAGAAGAATTTGTTTTAAATGAGCCAATAATACCTTCTTTAAAATTTATAAGTGTGACAGAATCATATCTTTTTTTTTTTCTTGGTCGTTCATTGCATGCCAGTAAACGGGATTTGAATTGTCTTCCACTTGCTATTCATAGGACAAACATCAGGCAAGAGGATCTTGTTAAGGTTCACTTGGAATTGGATTTCAACCACCCCATTAGAAAACTCCAAGAAAACAAAAGCTACCAAGTAGAAACCCTCAAAAATCGCTGCTCCCTTAGTATATTGGTTTGTTTATTTGTGTGTTTATTGTTTCTGCCACTATTTTTCTGGTGTGGCTTGTCCTGAGACAAAGCACATAAGCATGCATAGACTCTAGTGTTAGAAGGGTTTGCAAGAGGCACTGTGATGGTGGAATCTCTGTTTTCAAGCTTTGTCCAATGGGCAAGGTAGTGACTTGGGTTCTGTGCTTAGCATAGTGGGGCTCCCTGGAGTTAGGGTGGGATTCTTACTGCTTCAGTCAGCATCCAGGAAACTTGCTAAAGGAAATCCATATTCTTTTTGGGCTGGTGCAAGGTTATGTTAAAACTGGTTTTGTTTTTAGGAATGCACATTCCTAAGGTCCGGTGTCTGCAGCATGAACGTAGAAGGGCAGGAAGTGTGAAAGGGTTGGGGAAACAGTATTGGGTGATCATACGGACGGACTTGGTCATATCTAAAATCACGTGCTGTTTGGCTTTGGGGAATTAGATTAGCTGTTGCTTCCCAGGCATAAAGAATGCAGTTTCCTGCATATTGGCTATGCCGGTGAATGCCACGCACATGGCTGTATAAAGCAAGCCTATTGGCACATGGATGATAGCGTTACTTTGCTGTGCTAGGCTTCTACCTCCTAATGACTTTGGCCATCCCGAATGTCCCTTAGCGTCACTGATGCAGGTGCTAAATGATTTGAGCTCTGAAACAACTGATAAGTCACTCTTGTCATATCATCTGTGCCTCATTATTCTGTGACGTCACGTGAGCAATCCCCAGGCAGATCTTCCATGAACGGAGTCTTTCTCTTTTGAATTCCAGGGGCCAGAGGAAGCGCGGCGCTCTCAGAGCCAGGCACGCCCGACCAACACCAGGCCAGTCAGACCCATCCCCCATTTCCAGTTGGGCCACAGGTCAGTACGTCTCAACTGCTTTCCGTTAGGCAACGCTGAGGGTGATTTAACCAGATAAATAACCAGATAAATAATAATGAGTTAAATCCAATTAACTCCAACAGAGCAAAGATGGTGATAAATTTTTGTATGGGAAACTGTATGAGTACATTATTTATTAAACATCATCAAGAAAATATGTGTCTGCAAATTCCTTTCTCTTCCTAAAGGAAACACTGGTTTTAATCATTTGGAAAAATATGTATATTGGTAAAGTACCACAACTGTGCTGTTGGTTACCATGCAGTTTTCTAGAAAGTAAAACTTTAATGACTGGAGTGTGAAGAAAATTAAGTTATTTCAACCTTACTATAGCCATTTTTGAAATACAAGATGTGATTTAATATAAAAAAGTTAATGCAATTTTAATGCAAGTTCAGCTTATTGGGTTTGACAATACTGTACATCACACATAGCTCTTGCATTAATAAAGAAATACATTCATTATTTTTTAAAGTCCAATATTTGTTTTTTGCAGCCTGGTGTGGGTTATATGGAGATGTAGAACACAATTATAAAAGCCTGGGATTTTGTGTGTGTTTTTAACCTCTATTGTTTACAGTGAAATTTTGGGGCTTCATCCTGCTTTTATGGAAGAGAAACCGATGCTTGGGCCTTTCTTTCCCTACTGGTACCATTGTTCTCGGAAGTCAGTTGCTTTCAGCACAAGTTGAGAGCGTGGGATGCTCTTGACGCTCTTGGTCCAGTTGCCACCAAGTGTCCCTGTGGGCTTAGATTCCATCGTCTCTCTGGGAGCACAGATAACTCCATGCTGTGCACACGAAACCTGGGAAGCCATCTGAGGAATTACAGAAGCCTCAACAGGGGCTTCCTAAGCATCTCAGGAGCAGGCTTCTATGTGTCGTCCCCCTTCTAGGTTGACTCTTATCACATCCTGCCTGTGTGTGTGCACACCTGTGGCTATGAACAGACCAAGGGCAACACACTCAAATGCCTCCAGGTGAGGTAAGTGATGTCACAGAACAGGGTAGTGAGGGACAGTGGCACTGTGACAAACTGGGGGGGCATGCCCTGCTCTGAGCCTGCAAATCCAATTTGTGAAGTGCTACTGGCCAAAAACTCCCCGTGTGTGACATTTTATATGGTCTGAGGAGCACCCATTTGCCTTCCAACTTACCATGCTCTTACCATGGGCCGTGATAGCACACTAGGACACCACTGGGAACTGAGGGCATGCTTATAATTTTGTACTTAGTCCCAGAGTATGTTTACATTGCTCTTCAGAGTAACTTTGTATTTTTTTAAAGGGAAGCCCTGCTATTCCATGTGAGATGTACAAGTCCATTAGGAGCTAGAGTAAGTGGTCCAAAATTAGGCTGTGCAGAGCCTTTGAGTCTTTTAATGGCCTGGAGGGGACTTTGTAGGGATGGCCAAAGAGTGGGCTCAGCCCTCTCCACCCCTCCCTACTTTCTGCAGAGGAAGCATTCTCTTCTCTCATCTGTTCTTTGATGGAGAAGGGCTAAAACATGGATTCCGGGGCAGCCTGCCTGGACTTAAACTTGAACAGCACACCCACCTCCACACATTCTCTACTTGGGACTTTGAACAACTCATTAACCTCTCTGCACCTCATTGGTAGGCTAACTGCAGCATCAGAATCATGCCTGCCTGTTAGATGCTGGATTTTGTACCATGCCTATACTTGATTACCTTTTCCTTTAGAGAATCATGACAACTTTTTGGCTCTTTTTAAAAAAATATTATTAATATGAAAAGAAGAGATTTCATGTATTTCATAGGTGTGGTTCTAAGAAGATAACCATACTTCCTTCCCTCCATCCCCCTTCTTCCTCCCTTTCTTTTTTTTCTCTTTGATTTTTGTAAAGACATATTTTTTTTTTGACAGGCAGAGTGGACAGTGAGAGAGAGAGACAGAGAGAAAGGTCTTCCTTTGCCATTGGTTCACCCTCCAATGGCCGCCGCGGCCGGCGCGCTGCGGCCGGCGCACCGCGCTGATCTGGTGGCAGGAGCCAGGAGCCAGGAGCCAGGAGCCAGGTGCTTTTCCTGGTCTCCCATGGGGTTCAGGACCCAAGCACCTGGGCCATCCTCCACTGCACTCCCTGGCCACAGCAGAGAGCTGGCCTGGAAGAGGGGCAACCGGGACAGAATCCGGCGCCCCAGCTGGGACTAGAACCCGGTGTGCCGGCGCCACTAGGCGGAGGATTAGCCTAGTGAGCCGTGGCACCGGCCCGTAAAGACATAATTTCAATCCACTCTATCCACAGGCTTAATTCACCACTACCCATAATATTCAATTATGTTGTAAATATTCAACCATAATATTCAACAAATAATAAGTAGGAAAAAAGTCAAAATCTCCCAGATAAGAGCTTTGTATTGGTTCCTCTAGAAGAAAGCTTGATGTGGGGTTTTGCTCTACACTGCTCCTGGAAGGGTGGGGCGAGCAGTGGGGTGCAGGGCAAGCCCTGGATAGAGCAGTCTAGGATCAAATGTGTCTCATCATCTTGACTCTGCCAGGGCAGGAATCTGCCTACATCTGTCTGCCAAGGAGGACACACCATGCCCTCAGACAAGTCTACTGCTGCTGTTCCATGTCTAATAATGGCTTTTGGATCAGCTGAGGACATAATCATTGATTTTTGTAATATTTCAATTGGGCAAAGAATGTTACAGTAATAAAAGAATTTTCAAAAAGAATTTAAACTAGAATTAAATATTTTTATCTGTAAAATTCCATTTCTTTAAAGATTTCATTTACTTATTTGAAACAGAAAAAGGAGAGAGAGCGAGAGCAAGAGCAAGAGCGAGAGAGAGAGAGAGAGAGAGAGAGAGAGAATCTCCCATCTTTTTCAAATGGTTACAACGGCCAGGCCTAAGCCTGAAACTCCATCCAGGTCTCTCACTTGATTGGCAATGGCCCAAGCACTCAGGCCATCTTCCATTGCTTTCCCAGGCACATTAGCAGGGATCTGGCTGAGAAGTGCAGCAGCCAAGACTTGAAACTGATGCTCACATGGGACGCTGGCATCACAGGCAATGACTTACCCACTGTGCCATAACTGTAGCTCCTACAATCCATTTTGGATCTTGTTTTTACACATTTATAATTTTACTATCTTAATAATAACCATTCATATTTCATTAGCGATCACCCATTTTTAAAATGTATGTTCTGTTTTTATAAAGAGGTGTCATAATAATCCATTTTAATGCCAATGCAATATCTCATCAAGTTTAATATTGTAACAAACCATTTTTCAACACTGATGTATTTTTAACTGCAACACATTTTCATGCATTTATCACTTTTCCTTTTGGATTATATCTTCACACTATGTCCTAGAAGCATGTTCTGAGTCAATAAGGAATGACTATTTTTGCAGCTCATGATATGTATTTCCAAGCTGCTTCCCGAAAGGATTATGCCAGTGTGCTTGTCCCCTAGCCATAGAGCTGCATAATGGCACACTGTAGACTTTTTCTAGCATTGAGTTGATCTTTTACATTTTTTTTAATTTTATAACTGAAAATATTATTTCATCACTTTTTTAAAAACCAAAATTTCACTGATCCCAATGAATTCTTTCTGGAAAAACACAGAGTACATTAGATGAGAGTCTCAAATACAGCAGGGTAGGATCAAGTGAAAGTTTCTTGAAAAAATAATATACAAGTGCAAGTTGTTACTTCTAAAGGTACTTAATGGGACCAGTATTGTGGTTAAGCCACCTGTTTTGATGCCAGCATCCCATATTGCAGAGCCAGTTTGAGTCTCGCTGCTCTGCTCCCAATGCAGCTCCTTGGGAATAATATGGGTAGGAAGACAGTAGAGAGTGGCCCAAGTTCTCAGGCCCCTGCCAACCACGTGGGAGACCTGGCTTCAGCTCATCTCAGCCCTGGCCATTGCAGCCATCTGGGGAGTGAAACAGCAAGAGGGAATACATTTCTCTCTCTCTCTCTCTCTCTATATATATATATACACACACACATATATGTATAATCTTTCTCTATCTCATCTCTATCTGTCACTCTGCCTTTTAAATAAATAAATAAATCTTAATAAAGATATTTAACTCCTCAAGGAATGACTATACCAAACAAAATTTTCCAAAGAAATAAAACATGGTTTCACAAACATTCCTTTTCTCCAGTCTTTTTTTCAGGGAGAGAGCACGATGCTTTGCTACTTCTTCTGGAGCATTCAGGCCCTGCTTAAGTGGCAGGAAAGCACTTAAAAGTCCACTGGAAAGTGAGCTCCGTGTATCTGTTTCGTTGCAGCCACTTCTGACCGCGCAGCAGTTAGCCTCTGCGGTCGCGGGCGTGATGCCGGGAGGACCCCCAGCCCTCAACCAGCCTATCCTCATCCCCTTCAACATGGCGGGACAGCTAGGCGGTCAGCAGGGACTGGTCCTCACACTACCCACAGCGAATCTCACCAACATCCAAGGGCTGGTAGCCGCAGCTGCAGCTGGAGGCATCATGACTCTGCCATTGCAGAACCTACAAGGTAAGCAGGTGTCCATGTGCTCTGGCCGCTGCTCCTCGCAGTAGACCAGAAAAGTGCCCTGAGTGCTTCCACTGCAGAAGACAGGGCTGGGTTTTGTGTAAGAAGCAAAGCTTCTCGTTGTCAGTGAATCCTGAGCTTCCTCAAGCCATCAACGTCCTCAATTCTGGTTTCTTAACATCGATATCAAAACCTTTCAGGCTGTCTGATAACAGTTATGAGCAATCGCTGCACAACACTGAAAACCTTGAGTGTTACGTCAGTGGGATCTCATTTGAAGGTCTGAGTTACAGTCTCACAAGTTCTGCAGTTGAGCCTTGCAAAGAAAGGTTAGGACCGACTTGGTACTCGGACAAATACTGCTACTTGTTTGTGTGTGAAGGGGCTGGAATATCTCAAATGCAAGACATTATTTGGAATAATCAATTTAATGTAATCATTTACATTTCACTTACTAAGGGTATTTGGTTATAATTATTAAGCACTGTATATTTGATCTTCTCTTTTGTCATGAAAAAGAGATTTGTATGTCAAAACTTTATTCCAGGGGCCTAAACCAGAATTGGCTGTAGTTTTACTCAAGAAGGGGAGTTCTATTGAGGTTCTGGGGGCTTTGGCTTTTCTTTAAAAGATTTGGTAACCATGACTGATATATTGATTTTCAAAAGTCTCAGGGGCAGAATTATTATGGAGAAAAATGGCGTGAATATGCATAGGGTGCCTGTTAAATAGAAAATAGACTTACTTTGAATTAAGTCAAAGGATGTTTGTTTTCACTATTTAGAAAAATGTTAACAATTTTTTTCCAGAGTAAGAGTTTCACTGGGTAAGTTATCAGACAAATAACTTAAAATATTTTATTTGTTGATCAAATGTCAGGACTGCAGGTAACGTATTAAATTCATTAGCACATCAGTCCAAAGAGTAAGAAACAGAACAATAGTGGTTAATCCTTGACCTGAACTTTTTATGGGCTGTGTTCTATCTCACCCATTGTTGCCACTTCTTGACTTTCATTTTAATGTTTAAAACAAAGTCTCTCTTTTATACCATTAAATTGTGCCAAGAAACCTGCTGTTCATAAATCATGCATGCCCAGGATACGCTAATGCACAAACTTTGCTTGTTTCAAATTTGAAACTGCCTGGAAAGCCAGGAACTCAAGATTAAGCAAATAAAACAGGAATACACAAGGTGAAAGCAGAAGCAACAAAGTGTAGGGAGAAGCTTTTTAATGTAGGTAGATGATGAAATCTTAATGAAGAAATGGACATTATCAAAATGCAGCCTTCCATTTGGAACATTTGTGCTTATGGGAATATTGAATATTATAAATAAACATAAGCTCACTGGGCTCCTAGGCCATGCATTAATCCTGCTTGTTTAAAGTGGGTGCCAAAGTCAGAGTCATAGCAACTGGCCTGTTATATTTTGATTAGGATTTGGTATTTTTAGAATCACAGAAGCTGTTCTTCTAAAGAGTTCAAAGTGAATGACTGGTCAAATATGGACTTGGTCCATCACTATTTTAGGTGTTGCTGTTGTTGTTTTTAGGTATCAAAGTTAGGTCTAGTTTATAGTTTGGAATTTGTTTCTTTTGGCATTTTGTTTCAGAAAATCCATCCCAAGTTTTATGACCTGGTTCAGTGGGGACAACAAAAGTGCTAGCACTCTACCTTTTGGTGTGTCTGCCATAATTTCTGTATCATTGTAATCTTCAGAAGTGTTTTGGTGTAGACATTCAAGCTTCTGTCTACAGTATAAGCATAAGCAGTATTTCCCCCTTTGTCTCATCTTTGAGATTTCAGTGAGTTTTGCAGGGAGATGACAAAATTATTAAAATAAAACACATCCCAATTGCAAATCAACTAATTTCAGGAAGAGTTTCCTAATTCATCTGAGCATGAAGCCCCTCCCTCAACACCTTCTTCTTTAAATATCTTTGTAAGTCAATCCTAGTTCCTACGTCACTGTCAGGATTCAGGATTCTGGCCTTTCATATCTTCCCACCTGATTCCTTCATCACCCAGACCTCACTAGTCTGAGAAAAGAGACTGACCATCTGGGTTTTCTGGAGACTGGTAAATTCCCTGAGAACTTAGAACTGTCAGTGTTAAAGCAGGAAAGTCCCGGATACACTAGAATGAGTTGGTTGCTCTATGAGAAGTCCACAGGAAATGATGATGGGAATCAGAAGTCTCCAATCTCTAAAGCATCCACAGCCAGTCACCCCCAGCTGAAGGACACCACCACCTTGTGATCAATGCACCCCAACCAACCCAAGGTGACCTACAGCCACCTAGACAATTGCTATTCGCATGTATGACTTGCATAGCTCCTCAAGCTATATCGTAGAGTTATATTGGGACTCAGGATGGAATGTGGGTGATTGAGAAGCTAAAAAGTCATCTACAGGGATTGTAGCTTTCAGGATGAGCCAGTCCTAGCTGTGCTCCTTCCTCATCCCCTCTCAAGGGTAGCAGTTTTGTAAATGGGCTGTGTATTCCTCAGGAGGAATCACTACATGCATTTATATATTGACCATTCCTTCAGAAGGCTGTTCTTCACCGTTCTCCAGCCATTGCTGTATGGAAATACAGTTAGCTCAGTCCAAGTCTTTTCAAAATCTTAAAATGACTAGTAATGCTCATTTACAATAGACACTCCACCTCTCAGTGACTTTAAAAACCAAATGTGATTGGTCAGAGAGAGGGGGGAGGATTTAGGTGTCACACCCCTTGTCCAATGTAGGGCCTGATTGGTCAGTATTAAGGGGGAGCATTTACACACCTAGTCCAATATAAAACCCGTTCCCATGATGCCTGGAGTTCTAGAAAGGTTCCTTTTTCCTCAGAGTGAACCCTTAAACTTTTATTCATGAAACAACTCAGCCAACTGGAACTGTCTCTGTGTTCCCGTCTTCCTACCCAGCCCACCAGCCTGTCAGTTCTTGTAGCTCTAAAGCTGCAAATGTTCTAAAAGGTGAAAGAAAGTGGCTGATATCAGTTCCTTAATGGTTTGGAATTCCGGGAGTTTTCAAATATTTCCATGTTACTAAAATGAGAGGTTCATCATTTACATGCCCTACCAAGTCACATGGAAGAGTTCTCAGAGCCTTGGAGGCCATGGTACACACGTATGTTTTAATGAGCATTCATTCATGGCACTAAGCTACACTGAGAGCGGCAGTGGGGGTCATGGCACAGTCTCGTCCTCAGAATGTGGTTCTCACATTGCTGCCCACTGAAGAGAACGTGTATTTTTCTAAGAGCTCTGGGGACACTTATGCACAGTAAAATTGAAGACATGCTGGTCTAGGGTGCCTTTCCAAATTTCATTTGCCGACTCCACCTGCCTCAGTATGTTTGGGCTTCTATAACAAAAATGCCACCAACCAGCTGATTTATAAACAACTGACTTGCCTTCTTACAGTGCTGATGCCTGCGAAGTTCAAAATCAAGGTGCTGGGAGATTCAGTCATGAATATGTTTCATGTGTATTCAGTCAAGCGTATTTTTTCACAATATGCATTTCCATGAACTTTTTGAAGATCCCCTTATACATATGGATTTAGAAATTTTTTGAGCCAAAGCAAGCTTATCTTTTAATTCTGATTTTCTGTGAAATTTTTGAAGTACCATGTATTGTAAGATTCTAGGAACAGCCGTATTCATTCCGATCTATGAGGTTTGGGCCTTAATGCACCCAGCAAACCTCAGGCTGCAGGCAGGTATCTAACCTCCACTCCCCCAATGACTGGTGATCAACATCTCTTGTATTTTTCTGCTGTCTTCAGGACATTTCTCTGCTGCATTGGTTGGCTTCTGGCTAACCCATACTCAGGCTCCACTTTGTCTCCTGTGAGTACATGCTTCTTTCTAACCAGCCACCTCTCAGGAACTCTCCAGTGCCATAATCATCTTCATCATGTTTATATTCCTCCTTATCTCTGTATCTTTCTGAAATTCAGGTTATCCAGGAGACAACGTGCTTATTGGGTTGAGACTTTTTACCCTCTTAGAGCACTGTCAGGCTGGGGGTTGACTGCCCCACACGGAAGTGTCCATTCCTGTCCAATCCACTGTAATGTGGCAGGAAGAGGGGCATCCAGAATTACGTGGAACGTGGCCAACACACTTAGGAAACCCACTAGAGCTCCTCTGAGCTGATGGGGTGATGAGGAGGGAAGTCTGGATCTCAGCCTGTGCACTGGGAACTATTTATCAGGAGTGCATCCTATGGGCAGGGACTGAGAATGAGCCAAACTTTGAGGATGACAATGGTGGGGTTTAGGTTCTGACTATTTTAAGGGAAGTAATTGGAGTTTCTGAATGGGACACAAGTCTAGCAACAATCCATCCAGGGCTTTCAGGTAAGACCTAGAATTGAGCTGCTGCTCAACATCCTGTGTCTCTATGTAAACCAGGCGAGGTTTTGTGCCTTCTCTTACCTTGCCTCTGCCCTTCCACTTACTTTCTATGATCTCCTCCTCCTAGCCCATCCATTCCTGTGTCCTCTGTGCCAGGCTCACAGGGCTATGGGTCCAGGTGTCCATAAGCAAGGTCCCACCTGGAAAATAAGTCTAACGATGACTACAAACACCAAAGAAAAAAAATTACCAAGGTTGCTCTGTCAAATACTTCATAAACTCCTTGAAAAGTCAGTGTCTTCCATTTAACTTCTTGTGGAACAGAGAGAGCTGTACTAAAGATATAATATGCTATGGTTCTAGGGTGGTGACAGAGGTGATGATGGGATGTGGCAAAATGAAGCTTCTTTGTAGAACTCATTTAAATGTGTAAGAGCCTTTGCCTTTTTTAAAACAAGCAGAAAAAGTAAATACACACAACCTGGATGCGAGTAACAACAAGCAACAAAGGGTTAATGAGGCAGCAGAGATGAGTGTACTTCTAGGACAGATAAGTCAGGTTAGTGACTGGATCTCCTAGCATAGGCCAGAATGACCTACTAATCAGTGTAGGCAACATAAATGGAGAATATAA